GGACTCAGAGCTCACCACCACTGGTTCCTCCCCTCCTGCTCCCAGGGGACAGCTTGTCTTCTAGGACTCGGGACTGCAGAGCACTATCAGTGTCAGGAGCAGCCTCCACAGCAGAGGGACACATGGGCCCAGGATTGGGGGAAGCCGGGAGTAGTGAAGGGTGGGTCTTTGTTGACCATCAAGACCAGCGCGGGCAGGATCTCAGGAATGTGAGCTTGGTCCACATTCATTCATTCCTGTATTCTATTCGTCCTTCTTTCAATCATCAAACGCACTCGCAATGCTCCCTGTGCCCAAGCCACTGTGAATGGGCCAGAGATGCAGAATGAGCATGAGAAACAACGAACAAGGTCACCTTTTGAATAAGCTACTGGAAGTGGGCTTCCTGGTGGCCAAAGCAATGAGGGAAACCTGAGTGCTCGTGCGTGGCCCCGTAGCCACAGGCTGCCGGCATGTTCACTGCTCAGGAGAAGCCCAGCTCTCCCTGGCACCATGAGTGTCACCGTGGATGTCGGGCTGCCCGCGTCCGGTGGTGCGTTGCTGATCTGATGTGAGCAGCACTGCGGTCCCTCGCGGGTAAAGAGTCGCCAAAACAGAAAAACGTCAAAGAAGAACAAGACCCACCTCCCGGAGGCTCCTTTGTGGTGCATCCTGTGCGTTCTCCTTCCCCCCAGCCTCTGGCCCAGGTTCCCCCCAACACCGCGTCCTCTCTCTCCCACGCCCTTCAGGCTAGGTGACAATGACCCCCTCTGGAGGGGCGGCCTCCTGACCCTCCCCTCTCTTCCCCTAGACTGCCAGGAGCTGCTGCTGCCACCACCAACCCCCATGGCCTACATACCCGGCGGGGGAGCCCCAGGGGCTGGGGCCACCCCCCTGGGCTCCCAGCACTGCGTGTGCAGAGTGGAGCTGTCCGTGAGCGGCCAGAACCTGCTGGACCGCGACGTCACCTCCAAGTCCGACCCCTTCTGCGTCCTCTTTACAGAGAACAACGGCAGGTGGATGGAGGTGAGGCCCTGCACGTGCGCTGGCGCTGGGCAAGGCAGGACCGGGTGCTGGGCAGGGCCCCCCGCTGGACCTGCGACCCCAGGGCTCAGGCCTGGAGGTGGGAGAATGTGGGTGGCAAAGGGAGGCTAATACTGAAATGATTATATCCCTAAATTATCATGATCCATAAATACACAATTATGATTTTATATTCATTGTTTTATATTGTAACATTTAAATGGTTGTAACTTAGTTAGAAACTTTATAGTTTTACAAAATGCTCCCTTCCTTCCACTTTTAAACAACCCTCCCCTTGTCTCTAAATGAGCACACAGTCAGCGCTCGGGCTTTGGGCCCTAGAGTTGGTTCCAGCCTCAGCAATGCTGTTCCCTGCTGTGTGACCCCAATAAGGGGCTCTCCCTTTCTGAGCCTGTCTCCTCTGTGGGATGGGGGTTTCGTTTTCTGGTGTCTGCTGCCGGGGAGGGAGGCTGGGAACCGGGCGGGTGTCCTAGGCCAGGACTGGTGAGCTGGAGCCTGGGCCTGAGGCCTGGGGAGGGGAGCCGCCCTGAGAAGGCGTGGAGACTCCGCAACCTCTCGCTTTCAGGTGTGGAAACTTGCTTTGTTTCCTCTTCCTAAAGGGAACTACATTCCTAGTGGCCAATTTACAAAATTAATTGAAACCTAAAGACAGTCCCAATGGTTAGGCACCCACCTGTTGGTTTGGTAGCCAGAGAGTTTTGTCTGCATGTTTATTTTCAGACTACATATGGATCTTGCTTGTTTTTTGGTACCTGGGATTGAACCCAGGGGCATTTCACCACTGAGCTACATCTCCAGGCCTTTTTTATTTCTTATTTTGAGACAAAGTCCCGTCAAGTTGCTTAAGGTCTCCTAAAGTTGCAGAGGCTGGCCCTGAACTTGCAATCCTCCTGCCTCAGCCTCCTTTTTAAGTAAATATTTCACTGGGTCATGGTGAGCCACTAAATGAAAATACTGTGGTTTCCAAAGGCCTCCGGCAGATGTTGGCTGCTGCTTTTGATTAAAAAAAAAAAAAAAAATGGTGCTTGGTGTGTTGCCCTCTGTTGTTTGCAGAGGGGAAATAGGACCTGGAGGGTGGGGATTTTTCTGTGTCACCCAGTCTGTTGGGGGTTGCCGCAGGAAGTGGGAAATGGGATATGGGGTCATCCCAGATCTCCAGGGGTGGCCCAGGCCTGTGCCGGTGCTCAGTGCCAGACCTCTGGAGCCCCACGTGCCCCTCAGGGAGGGGTGCCCCCCACTCAGGCGTTCCCAGTGACCTCCATTCCCACCCAGTCGGGCCACCCTGGCTAAAAATAGCCCAAGGCCAAGACCTCCTGTGTGGCTGCTGCTCAAGCCTTAGAAACAGACTGGGTGGGAGGAAAGTCAACAGAGCCCGGGCCCCAAAATAGACGTCACCCAGACTCCGTGGTTTGGGGCGTCCGCGTTCAGAGGCCAGGAGGCGCGTTCCTGTTTCAGAGTGGCCACCGCCCACAGGGAGGCGCACGGTCCTCACGGGGCTTCCGTGTCCAGCGGGGCTGCTGGGGCAGGATTCCAGGAACCAGAAACTCACTCTGAGCCCCGCGTGGTGGTGCCCACCTGTCCCCCAGGGACTCAGGGGACCGAGGAGGAGAATCCTAAGGGTGAGGCCAGCCTAGGCCACTTGGGAGACACTGTCTCAAAATAAAAAGGGCAGCCCTGGACTCAGTCTCCACGTGGGGGCAGGAGATACAAACATCTGTCCCCGGGTGTGGATTCTATGACCCACCTCTCCCCAGGGCCCCCCACTTCCTTCTTTCTGTTTCCTCTCAACTGCTCCGTCTCTTCCAAGGTAAAAAGTTTAAGAACTACAGAGACTCCAGTCCCCCAAATGTTGAGGGGGACTTGCCCTCTGTCACTCATGCAGCAGGGTCAGGGCCCAAGCTCTTACCCTGGTACCTGGGAATGGAGCTAGGGCTGAAGGGTTAAGAGTGTGGGTAGTAGAGTCAGATCCAGGTTTTGAATCTTGGGCCTTGGCCCTGCTGGCTGTTCAACCTTGGGTAAGTCACTTCACCTCTCTGTGCTCCTGTTGTTCTCATCTATGAGCTGGGGTAGTGACTGCTCCAGCCTGGCCCTGAGTCGGTGATTGGCAGAGTGCTTTCTGGCCTCCCGAGAGGGGCAAGCCAGCCGCCCTGAATCTGACTCCCACCGCTCTGCCCCTCTGCCAGTATGACAGGACGGAAACGGCGGTCAACAACCTCAACCCTGCGTTCTCCAAGAAGTTTGTCCTCGACTACCACTTTGAGGAGGTGCAGAAGCTCAAGTTTGCCCTGTTTGACCAGGACAGGTCCAGCACGCAGCTGGAGGAGCATGACTTCCTGGGCCAGTTCTCCTGCAGCCTGGGCACGGTGAGCTGGGCAGCCCGCAAGATGCCACCAGCTTCCCGGAGTAGCCCCTCCCTCGGGCAGTCTCTCCCGGCACCTGCTCTCCCTGCCCCCAAGTGCAGGTGCAGACCACCGGGGGAGCCAGCAGGCACCAGAGCGGGGGAACAGCGGGTGGGCTTGGTGCCAGGCAGGAGAGCTCCCATCTGAAGGGACAGCCAAGCGCAGTGCCACCAACTGCTGCCGCACTGTGGGTCCCATGTGGCCAGAGCGTCCCAGGACTAGAGGTGGCCAGGTGTCGCCTTGACTGCCTCATCTGGACACCTGCGCACAACCAGGTCCCCTGGGAGCAGTCCTGTGCTAGCTGGCGCTGTGTGACCTCGGCCACTTGTTGCCCTCTCTGGACCACATTTCCCATCCATCTTGGGCCTTGGTCAGCTGCTGGAGGCCAGAGAGGCCGTGTGCCCTGGCCAGCTCCCGTCTACCCCTGGACTTGAGCGTCACAGTCTCACTTAAGGATGGGGCAGGACCGGGAGGGTGAGAAGAGGGCCTCATGGGGAGCCAGATGTTCACTAAAACAGCAAGGGCAGGCAGGACCTGAGGTCCCTTCTTGTGTGAGGAGCAGGGTACAGTCAGGGTCCGGCTGGATGTCAGCTTAAGTATAGGGACAGGGAACCAGCGGGGCCAGCAGAGCAGCCCAGGACTTGGCCCTGGTGGACCTAACCACCTCCGGCCCTCAGGAGGCAGCGCCAGGCACTGCAGGGGCTGGGAGAGAGCTGTGGCCAGGGGAGGGACCCTCAGGACAGGGCAGTGACAAAGCTCTTACCATGCCAGCCCTGGCCTCGGCCATCCTACTGCTGGTGGCCCCATTGACTGAACCCCCAAAAGCTAAAGGACAGAGAGCCAGGTGACACAGTGCATGGGGCCCAGAGCAGGCAGAGAAGGGTGGGGAGTGGACCTGGGAGGGGACAGGAGCAGCCGGTACTGGTGTGTCCTCAGACCTGCGTGAAGACACAGCCTTTACCCAGGAAACCAGGGCGGAGGCCCCTGAGGCAGGTGGGGACAAGGGGACAGGAAGGGAACTTCCTGATGTGCTTCACTTTACCTTTCTCTGTGATTGAACCCCACGCCTGTTGTTAGCACGGAAAACACATACAAAGACCTGGAGGCCGCCTCCCCTGCAGGCTTGCCCAGAGGAGGCCCTCCCAGGGCTTGGGGGATGACCCCTGCAGTGGTCTCTAGAGCAGGACCCCTGAGGACCTTCCCTGGGGTGAGCCAGGGGAGTGGAGCCAGACTGCAGGAGGCCACCCCCAAGCCACTGGGGCCTCTGGCCAGTGTCTCGGTGTCCTGGCTGCTCTGATTGGCTGGCAGTGGTGGCCCTCAGCCTCCCAGGGTCAGACTCTGCAGGTGAAGGTTTGGCAGCCCTGTCAGGAGGCAGCCAGCTGAATGGCGCCTGCGGAGGGTTTGTCTTCCTGGCCCACCTCCTTGAAAGCCTCTCTCTGTCACCAGATCGTCTCCAGCAAGAAGATCACCCGGCCTCTGCTGCTGATGAACGACAAGCCCGCAGGGAAGGGCCTGATCACGGTACCAGCCCCCTCGGCTCTCCACGTCCAGCACCCGCTGCTGCCCTCCCCCATCAATGGGCCGCTTCTCCGCAGATAATCACCAGCTTTGTTTGGAGTAAAAAGGCCCAACTTACAACTTAGCAACAGGTTTCTTAGCAACGGGCTCCAGGCGGCCACAAACGATGCGCTGGGGGCCGCTGTCAGAAGGCCCCCAAGGCGGCTGGGGCGGGGCCTCCTTCTCCTCCCTGGCGGCTCCAGCTCCCTCCCAGCCCCCTCCTCACGGGTCCTTGCCCACCGGCCTTCCTGGGGGCACAGTTGGGGGCTCTGGTTTTCAGCAGTGCTGGCACCTCCCCTGCGGTGCCATGCGCAAGGATACCCCGTGTGCAGCCCCTTCTCAGGGATGAGTGCGCAGCCCCAGAGGGCAGGGCAACCCCCGTTAGCAGATGAGGGAAAAGAGACCCAAGAGGAAGTCCCCTGGGCAGCCCCACTAGCCAGATTGTCCCTGTGTTAACGTGGTGCTCCTTCAGGAGGGGCGCCGTGCTCCTGGCGCTCCCACCCCGGGTGGCTCCTTCCTTCAAAGCTGAGGGACCCCGCTGCCCCAGCCTTGCAGCCCCACCCCGGCCACTCTTTGCCCCTTCCCTCCAATGTCGGGGCCAGGCAAGCTGAATTGACCGCACACCCTGGGCGCCCCACAGACCCCCATCTGATCTGATCTCTTCCTGTGGCCTGGAGTGCCCCGCCCAGCCCCCAGATATCAGTGGTCACCGTGGCTCCATCTCAGCGCTTCCACGCCAGCTTCCTGTTCCCGGCTGGTCCAGCCCTGGCTGGGCTGGGGTCCAAGGATCATGGTGGGTGGTTGGGGAAGGCACTGAGGGTAGATGACCATCGGAGCTGAGGGAACTCTGGTGGCCCTGCTCCCTCCCCCCGCCTCAGTTTCCCTGATGGCACATGAGGTTGTGCAGTTGCTGACTCTGGGTGTTCTGGGCTCTCTGGGGCTGCAGGGGGGACATGTCCTGCTGCTCCCTGGCCCAGAACCTCTCCCTCAGCTCAGGTCTAGTCACTGCTTCATCGTCCCTCATGCCCCAGGTCCCCTCCCCTGAGCCACATGAAGCCACTTTCTGATTTCTCATTCTGGATTACAGAAACTGTTTTTTGGGGAAGGCAAGAAACTTGTCCGAGGCCACCTGGCCCCACCCCTCTCACTCCTTCCCCCCCATACCCACTGTGCCTGGCAGGTGGGGGGTGGGAGGAGCAGACCCTCCCCTCACGGCCCTGACCTTGACCTTGCAGATCGCAGCCCAGGAGCTGTCGGACAACCGGGTCATCACGCTGAGCCTGGCGGGCAGGAAGCTGGACAAGAAGGTGAGGCAGGCAGAAGGGGTTTCCACCAGGAGCAAGGTCCCCACCCCGGCCTGGGGTTGTGTCACCTGGCTCTCTCTGGCCATCACCTTCATTGTCCCCTGGGGACAGGCCTTGCATAGGCCCCCACTGGCCACTCCAGATGAAGACCTCCCCACCTGTGAGACAGGGAGCTTCCCATCACCTGGGGCGTTCAGGACACAGCGGGATCCCACCTGTGCAGCACCCCATCTCACAGGGTCCTCAGTGCCCTGTGGGGCCCCTACCTGATGTGTCCCAAGTGCCCCACCTCTTCCTCTACCCTCCAACCAAACCAGCCTCTTTGCCATCCTGATTATTCAATTGGAAGTGCTGGGGATCAAACCCGGGGCCTCACATGTGCTAGGTCCTGAGCTACATACTCCTGGCCACTGTTCCCAGATTAAACCAGGCACACTCCTGTCCCAGGATCCAGTGGGGGAGGGTACTGGGGATTGAATCCAGGAGCGCTCAACCACTGAGCCACATTCCAGCCCTTTTTATTTTTTTTATTTTGAGACAGAGTCTCACCAAGTTGCTGAGGCTGGTTTGAGCTTGCAATCTTCCTGCCTCAGCCTCCTGAGCTGCTGAGATTAGAGCATGTGCCACCATGTCCTGCTGCCTCAGGACCTTGACTCTTGCTCTTTCCTCTGCCTGGGACACTTCCTTGAACACTCACGCTCCCTCCTTACATCAAACCTGTGCTTCCATGTTACCTCCTCGGGCAGTGGCCTTTGATGGCCCGCCCTTTCCTTCTCTACTTGGCTCCTTGACACTATTGTCTCACAAAGAGTCCCGTCTGTTTTCGTGTTTGTCCCCTTCATCTGTGTCCTCTTCAGAGTGCCACTTTTCTTCAACGTAATACGTTAAGTTTTAAAGGCCAGCACATCCCTCCAGCACCACAAGCCGGAGAGCTCTAGGTTTTCAGATGCTCGCTAAAAGAAATGTCACCTCCTGCAGGTGCCTGGCCCTGTGCTGGAGCAGGCGCCCTCCTGCAGCCCCGCCCTGCTGCAGATGCTGTGGCTGCAGCCCCTGCAGGCTTGGGGACTCGGGGCTCGGGGACTCAGGGCTCGGGGACTTGGGGCTTGGGGCTCCGGCACGGCTGCGACCACCCTGTGATGGCCTGTTTTTGCCGAGCGGGCTCCAGCTGCCCAGGTCTCCAGCTGCCCAGGTCTCCAGCTGAGCCTTGCAGAGGCTGAGGGTAGAGGGGATGGGGCGCTGGGGACCCAGCTGGGAGGGCTGTGCCCTTCGCCCACATCCCTCTGCTCTCCCAGGACCTCTTTGGGAAGTCGGACCCGTTCCTGGAATTCTACAAACCCGGGGACGATGGCAAATGGATGCTGGTGCACAGGACTGAGGTGGGGGCCCGGGGCCTGGGGGTCACAGTGGGTCTGCCCTCCAGCCACCTCCAACCGCTCAGGGTGGGGCTGTGCCATCCCGGCCAGGCAGCTGCCCTGGGAGACCCTCGATGCTTTGTCCTTCCCCAGAAGTGCGCCTGGGGATGCCCCCATCCTGACTCGCCGTCCTCCCTGCCCAGCCTGACCAGAGCTGTTGCCCCACAGGTGATCAAGTACACACTGGACCCCGTGTGGAAGCCGTTCACCGTGCCACTGGTGTCCCTGTGTGATGGGGACATGGAGAAGCCCATCCAGGTGAGGGGGCCTCTGGGGGCCCTGCTCCCCCGCTGCCCGCTGGGGCCTCCTGGTCTACCTTGGGATCCCGGGAGCCCCCTTCCTAAGATGGAAAGAACCCCACCTTGGAGGAGGGAGCACGGGAGCCTGGAGCCCTGAGTCCTTGTCCCCGGTCTGCCTGGCCTCTGGGGACCTGGGCAGGATCCCCACCTGCATGAGCCTCTGCTCTAAAACTGCCGCACCCTCCAGGAGGCTGCAGAGCTGGGGTTACAGGGGTGGAAACATCTCAGGAGCAGTGAACTGCAGCACATGTGGTCACCTGGGGAGGACAGTGGTCACCAGTCACCAAAGTCCCCAGTCCTGAGGGGCAGGGGTGTGAGCCGGCGGGTCGTGTGACAGCTGGGCCAGGCAGGGATCCCTAGATGGGCTTCCAGGAGATGCGGGTTCTAGTCCTGTAGCTGCTGCTGCTGTGGTGAGACTTGGGCCACGCGCTTCCCTCTCAGGGCCTCTCCTCACCCAGCAGCAGAAGGGGCACACGCATCCTGCCTTCCTCCTCAGTGGCACGAAGCTGAGTCAGTGTGGTCACTTAAAGTGCGGGTCCCTGTGCTCAGGCTGGAGAGGGCCCCAGGCCACACCCTCCGTTCCTGGGTGGGCACCCTTTCTCCTTCGCCCAGCAGCCGCGTGGGCTTCCTGTAGGAGGCGGTCCAGGACTTCCTGCAGCCAGCCGGGCAGAGGCTGGGGGAGGGACCACCCACAGAAGACCCGGGTTTTGCTTGGGAGCGGAAAGGGGATACAGGTCACCTCTTGGGGACAGCTCTAGGGTGACTGTGTGGACCCACCCAGGTCATGTGCTACGACTATGACAATGACGGGGGCCACGACTTCATTGGCGAGTTCCAGACGTCAGTGTCCCAGATGTGCATGGCTCGCGACGGCGTCCCGGTGAGCTGGGTGCATGTGCCAGGACCCCGGGGCCAGGGGAGGGGCATCCCGGGCTCACACTCCCCATCGTTTCCAGCTGCGTAACCTTGAGCAAGACCTTGCACAGTCTCCCTGAGCCTCGGTTTCTCTGTCCGTCCCTGGGAGAGAGGGTTTGGAGGGGGAGTGAAACGAGATGCCCTGCCCCAGTGAGCACCAAGGCACCATCCCCTGGTCCCCTGAGGCCAGCCCCTCCTCTCGACCCTCTTGCCACTTCTGGTGCAGCCGTCTGGGTGGCTGCCCCTCTGTTGAGACTGGAGGGCGCCCTGGGGAGGATCTGTCCCCTAGGAGCCCCGCTGACCTCCTGCTCTGGTGCAGCTGGAGCTGGAGTGCATCAACCCCAAGAAGCAGAGGAAGAAGAAGGGCTACAAAAACTCGGGCGTCATTGTCCTGCGTTCCTGCAAGGTGAGCCGTGGGGTGGGCGGGAGTGAGCCAGCCAGGGCCACCAGCACAGGGGGCACAGCCCCAGCAGGCCGTCTGGGCTCTGGGTCTGCCACCAGCGAGGCCTAGCTGCAGATCCCACCTGGGTCACATCCTGGCTGTGTGACCTAAACTGAGCCTCAGCCTCCTCATCTGTAGCAAGGAGAGGATCCCTCTCATATCACCTTCCTGTGTGGAGGCGGAGGCAGGCCGAGGTGACCTTCTGCGGCTGCTCCTGGCTTGGGGGGGTATAGGGAGCCCCACAGCCCCAGCTCAGTACTCCCTCAGGACACGTTGGGCATTGGACAAGGCATGCTGTCCCCTGGTGGCCACAGGGCAGGACATCAAGGAGGGCAGCTTGGGGCCCAGGGAGAGCCTGGACATGGGCCTGAGGTTGAAGGTGAGTCTGGGCTGCTGTCTGTCTGCATGGATCCCAGGCCCTTGGCCTCGGTTTCCTCATCGGGAGCCCCAGCTCTGAGGCTGGGGTCACGTGACCCTTCCGTGATACCGCAGTGGAAAAGCGCCTGGTCAACGGTCAGCACTGTTTAGACCTTATCCCAAAACGTCCATCGGCCACATCCTCTTCCCAATTTTTGGTGCCTCCCTTACTCCTGCCTCCCATCAGCCCTTATCCCCTCCTCTACTTCAGAATTCACTGGAATCCATTCATTTTGAAGAGACCCTCGTCATCCACCAAAGCTGAAAGGCCCAAATTTGCCCAGAGGAGGGGAAGGTCATCAAAATACAAAGCTTTGAGTTTTGGGGTTTTATTTTTGGTTTGTTTTGGGGTACTGGAGAGTGAACCCAGGGGTGCTCTACCACAGAGGCATGTCCCCAGCCCTTTTTATTTATTTTGAGACAGGGTTTTGCTAAGTTGCTGTGGCTGGCCTCAAACTTTGGTTTCTCCCTATCTCTGCCTTCCGAGTCACTGGGTGGCAGGGGACACCGTGGGCCAGCCAGACAGTGGCTTAGCAGCTGCAGTAACTTGCAGAGGCAGCTGTGGCCGAGAGCCCTGCTCTCGCTCTTAGTTAACAAGGGAGGCAGCGAGGGCCAGAGGAGTCAAGACTCCAATGCCAACGAGTGGAGGCTCGCCCTGTGGGGCAGTCGGCAACTGTGGTTGACGCTGGGCCCTGGGATCCTGCCCCCGAGGGCCCCCCACCCACTGAGAGAACCGCTGCTCTGAAGGCCCTGGCATCCAGAGGTCCTGGCTTGGGGGTAGTCAGACCCGACCCACCTGCTTCCATGGCCTCCTTGTCCCCATCAAAGTTCAGGACATGGAGCCCCAACTCCCTGAGGCGTTCACGTCTAGATCCTGGGGACCCACTGACTCCCCTGATCCTTCCAGATACACCGAGACTATTCCTTCCTGGACTACATCCTGGGGGGCTGCCAGCTCATGTTCACGGTAAGGCTCCCGACTCCTCCCCGCACCCTGCCCCAGTGGTGGTCTTCCCTGAGGGTTTACTGCAGCAGAAGGGACTTGGATAAACTTCAGGAAGGACTTCCCTGGGGTAAGAGGTGGGACTGGCCCCAGTAGGGAGGGCACAGGTGGTTTACCTGGTGTAGGGGCTGAATTGGGGCTTAGCGCAGGGCACAGCTGAGAGAAGAGAAATCAGTCCCTCCCCATGGGCCACGGAGCCTCCCCTCGCTGCCCTTCCCCCTCTGCAGCCACTCTTCCTGTCTGTCCCCAGACACCGAGCTCTGCTCTTCCAGGCCTCTGCGCTGCCACCTCCCCTGGGAGGCACCCTCTTCCTCGTCACACCTCCCTGGCTTATCTTCTCCAGGGCTCTTGTCCTCTCTGAAGTTATCTTGGGCGTTTTTCCCTTGTCCTGTTTGTGCCACCTGCCATCACAGGCACATGGGACGTGTGTCCCTTCCAGTCGCAGCATGTTTGTCCACACAGTGAAGTGCCACTCTGCCAGGCCTGGGTCACGCCCCACAGACTCTGGGACGAGCAGCTTGGCTCATGCTCCCCAGCCGAGGCCCACAGTGGGGACCTGCTGGGCACCAGGCTCTGCCCACCTCCTGCTGCCCCCCCCTGTCCCCCACCACTCTAGAGCCAGTGGCTGGAGGGCATGGGGATTGCTTGAAGTTAGGGAACCGGCCTTGCTGGCCCCAAACTCCACCAGCCTTCTCTGCCCTGTCCTCTGCAGAGAGGCCAGGCCTCCTCCCTGCCCTCCTGGGTGGGTGGGTTCACTTGACAAATGTCTGCTGAGCACCTCCTTCATGCCAGGCTCTTGGCTGTGCCACTGCAGGGGTCCCTCGAGGGCTAAGACAGTCACCCTGGCCTCAGGGAGCTGAGCCCCCACAGGGAGAGGGTGCAGGTGGCCACGGCCCTTCTCTCCACACGGTGGCTGAGATCCCAGGGGTCCCCTCCCGGCTTCCTGCTCTCCTTCCTGGCTGGGCCAGGGCTGTTCTTGACCACTGTCCTCTATCCCTCCAGGGGCTGGGCTGGGGTCTCCTGGAGGCTGAGAGGGCAGTGAGAGCCCCAGTTCCTGTCCACCCTCAGCCCCAAGTTCCCACTGAGCACCTTCCCTGTGTGGGGCTCCCAGCCCAGGACCAGGGTGCACCCAGCTGACTGTGGAGACAGCTACTGCCCTGCACGGCAGCCCCAGGCCTGGGCCCCTTGGTCATCTGGGGGGCAAGGCAGAGTGGCCTGGATTGGGAGTCAGGCTGGCCTTTGAGTGGCAGGAGGGACAGTGAGGAGGGACAGAAGTCTGGGGGTGAGTTAACCTGTTTCACATCTGGGCAGTGGACTTTATGCTTGGGCAATAGGGAGCCTTGGATGGCATTAGAGAAGAGCAGTGATACCATCACCCAGTTCTCGGTTTCAGACCACTTTATGGGGGAGCAGGGCAGGGACAGGAGTGGCTGTCCATGTCCCATCAGCCTCTGCTACTCCCTGGGGTGGGAAGGGGAGCTGGGGTCAGCGGTCACACTGGGTAGCCTTCCTTCCAACTCTGCAGGTTGGGATAGACTTCACAGCCTCCAATGGGAACCCCCTGGACCCCTCTTCTTTGCACTATATCAACCCTCTGGGCACCAACGAGTACCTGTCGGCCATCTGGGCAGTGGGGCAGATCATTCAGGACTATGACAGGTGAGCTTGGAGAGGGCCTCTGAAGGCCAGCTGGGCTTCCAGCCACCTGGGAAACTCAGCTCCCACACCAGGAGGGACCAGAGGTCGGCAGGGCCAGGAATGCCCAGTGCAGGGCACGCCGTGGGTACTCCCTTCCTGAACCTGGGCAGACATTGCTAACCGATGGCCGATCTCGCGCTCTCACCTGCTGGGAACCTCCTGCACCCAGCACCCAGGGCCAGTCAGGAAACGAGTTGGAATGGACATGAACTTGTCCCCACTGCCGCAGCCTCTCCGTCAGGGCTGAGCTGAGGCTCTGTCCAAATGCCCATGCTCAGGGCCACTGGATCCGGCCGTTCCCAGTCCTGGGCCTGACACCTGCTGGCCCCACGGGCTCGTTCCTGCTGGAAGCTCCCGCAGGGCAGCTGGCACATGTGGGCCCTCTTCCCACCGTCATGCTCCATGGGGACCTCTGGGTCCCCAGTAGAAAGTCAGCAAAGGAATGCTGTGTGGCGGGTTTGGCAGGTGTGGCCACCAACAGGAGGGCCATCATTGTCACCGGTGGTACTGACTGGGAGCTCCAGGTCACAGAGTGGCCAGGAGGCCAGGAGGCTGGCTCCCTGGAAGCAGCGGAGGGAGGAGCAGGGGTCATCGGCTCAGGAATCCCCAGGCACTTGGCCTCCGAGAGAGAGCACCCGAGACCAGGGGTTCAGGGCCTGAGGGGTGGCTGTGACTCCAGGCCACATGAAGAGAGGTGCAGCACGCAGAGCCAGGGAGGTGAAGCCCCGCCTGCATGGCCAGGTGGGCACCAGCAGTCACCTGACCACTCAGCCTCTCCTCCAGCCGCCTCCCGGGCATTCAGACTTGACAGGGCCCCGCGAGCTCTGGACCTGGGGTTGAGCCCTTTGCCTCCTGCCTGGCTTGTTTCAGTGGTCCCCTCTCTGTCCCTGCTTCTGTCCCAGCCCCCCCGCTCCACAAGGCAACTGGAGGACCCTAATATGTCCACTGAATGGCCCAGTGAGCCGCGCCCCTGCCCCAGGGAGTTCAGAAGAGGAAGAGAGAAGTCCCTGTATTCTGAGTCTAGGTCACCCTGCGGGGCAGAAGCTCTGGGAGCACAAGGGACAGGCATGTGGGGGGTCAGGGGAGCCCACAGAGAGGGGACCGTTTAATTGGGCCTTGAAGGCTGAGTAGGCGTCGGCTGGGGGAATAGACGGGGGAAGGTGACTCAGCGGGGGGCACAGCACCCTGACACTGGCAGGAGAAAGCGCTCGGTGTGTCTGATGAGGGACAGGTAAGTGACGAAAGGCCCGGAGTGGCCCGTCAGGGCTCTGGTTTGGGGAGCCTCTTCCCCAGCCGTGAGCAGGGCAGGACCGGGGCCAGCATGTTCCGCCCCCACATGGCGTCGGCTCTGTGGCTCCTGGGGTCTTGGCTCGAGGACCTAGAAGCTGCACCTGGGCTCCAGGGTTGGACGTGCTGTTGTGGGCGCGTCGGCCACAGGCACAGCCCAGAAAGCCGAGGCCACCTGCTCATGGTGGCGGCTGGGGGTGGCGGTGCAGCTCTCCACCCCTGGAGAAGGGAGGGCAGGGTGGCACCCTGGGTCGGGGGTCCAGGGAGGGCTGGTGGGCAGAGCTGCTGTCCTCTCCCGTGTCCTCAGTGCTGTCCTCTCCTCTCTCTGATTAGTGACAAGATGTTCCCGGCTCTGGGATTCGGAGCCCAGCTGCCCCCAGACTGGAAGGTGAGTGAAGCTGGCCTGGCGTCCCCTGGCCCAGGTGGGGCCGTGGGCCTCTCTGGGGTCTGCTTGGGAAGCCCTGGGCGGGGACCAGTGGCCCTGCCTCGCAGACATCACCCCAGGCCACGAGCCTTTCTCAGGCCTGACCCTCAGGCTGATAGAGGCCATGACGGGGGCCAGTGCGTGCGGCCTCTGCTTCCTGAAGCCCATGTCCAGTAGGGAAATGGGGTGGCCAGGTTCAGCACATAAACACTGGACACCCAGTTACGTAGGAGCTTTGTGGAACGACAGTGTCTTTCTAGGTGTGAGTAGGCGCTGGACGTTGTGCGGGACACACTTAGACCAGAACATTCCCTGTCTGTCTGAAATTCCTGCATCCCTGGGCTCCGGTGTTCCATCTGGGAACCCTAACGACAGGCAGCGTCATGGGTGCTGAGATGGGGCAGCACGGGCTGGGGGTGCCCAGAGGAGGGCCCCAGGCCAGCTTGGGCGTGGGAAGGCACCTGAGGAGGCGAGTCCAAGCCAAGAGGAGGCAGGAATGGCAGGGGGTGGGGTGCTGGGCAGGGGGACAGGGGTGCTGGGCAGGGGGGTGGTGCTGGGCAGGGGGACAGGGGTGCTGGGCAGGGGGGTGGTGCTGGGCAGGGGGACAGGGGTGCTGGGCAGGGGGACAGGGGTGCTGGGCAGGGGGACAGGGGTGCTGGCTGGGAGCACACTCAGGACAGCGAAGGCCGGGAGGGCCCAGAGGCATTGAGGACAGGAGTAGTCATCTCGGCTACTTAGGAGGCTGAGGCAGGAGGGTCACAGGTTCAAGGCCAGCCACTTAGTGAGACCCTGCCTCAAAATATAATGAGGAGGGCAGCTCCGTGGGAGGCGCCTCTGTATTCACTCTAGAACTCGAAGAAAACGAGGCCTTGGAATGTTCTGGACACAGCCCAGCTGTGTCAGCTTCATTTAATTCTTACCGAAAGCCGATGGGGCTCGCCAGCCTGTCACTCCCCGTCTGGTCACAGAAGAGGCAGTGGCCAGCGGTTCTGAGGTGCCTGCAGGCTGGTGAGGGGAGGCTGGAGGAAGCTGTTTCCCTGACCGCAGGAGGGTCACCCTGGTGGGGACACCTGGCGGGGCGGGGCACCAAGGCCCAGGAGTGCAGCCGCTGGGCTGGCCAGGGAGCAGCAGGTGCAGGGCTGGGAGGGAGCCAGGAGAGAGTGCAGGAGAACAGAGAGTCCCTGGGCGTGGCCGGGGCAGGTCCTCACTGCCTCATGGGACTGGGACAAGGGTGTTTGGTGGCCAGAGGGCAAAGCCAATGAGGAGGGCTCTCCCAGTGAGACACTGTCCCTTTTTACCGGGGACACCCAAGGCTCAGAGCCTTGATGTGACTTTGCCCCAGGTCACCTCACCACAGGGGCCTGGGTTCCAAGGGGGCAGATGGATCTTCCAGAACATTCCCGGAACCCACTGTCTCCAGAAGAGCAGCCTCTCGGGAGCAGGCGCAGAGGGCCCCTGTGTCCATGCATCTGTCTGCCGGTGCCCCCTCTTGTCTGCCCTGGTGTGCCTCATCCTGTTTCCAGAATGAGCTGTTGTTTCCTGTCCTCTGTCCCCAGGACAGTGTTTACCCAGACCCTCAGGGAGTGGCTGGGGGCCAGAGCAGGAGAGGTGGCTTTGCTGGCCCTGCCCAATGTGAGGTGGGACCCTGTGGGTCCCACATGATGCTGCTGGGGGGGGCGGGGCAGGCTGCACACCAGGCCCAGCGCGAGCCTGTTGCTAGGACAACAGCCAGCTTTCAGGGAACTCGGCTGAATGAGCTGTTTTCTTGAGCAAAAGCCTTCTTGGAAATGTCACGGGGTGACTCTAGGGAGGCTGGGGCTTAGCCAGGCCAGTGTCGGGTAGTGGCAAGAGAGACACTGGAATGGGGCTAGGAAAGGGCAGGTACGCCTCCCTCTTGGCTGCCAGGCCTGGCCGTCTTGGCCCCTCTCTCTTTCCTAACTTACCTTGCCTCTGCCATGTGAACCTTCCTTCCTACCTCAGGGCCTTTGCACATGGCCTTAGCTCACCCAGATTCCCTCTGCTGCTTCTTAAGTTGGAGGTTCTGCTCCCTGGGAGCCCTGGCCTGACAGCTCTCCTCTCAGCACCCAGTAGGCTACCTGGGGGAGGGCAGGGAGGCACTGGGTTCTCTCCCATGGTGTCCCAGCCCTGGCATACAGTAGATGTGCAGTTCTTGCACAGAATGGGTCTGGGACCTGACCCAATGGTCTAAGCAAACACAGGGGTTGGCTCTGGAGTGTGTGAGATCAGCTTTTGATGGTCCACCCAGGCTGGGGGCACTGGGACTGGTGGCAGAGACACCAGACCAGTCCCTGGGAGAACCACCAGTTGGGAGTCCCCACCCTCCTCCAGCCCCGTCACGCTGCCTGGTCCCCAGGGCCGCTCTGAGCACTTGTCGGCCAGTCCCAGTTGGCTCACTGGCAGGAGCCCAAGCACTTGGCTCACTGCTGACATTCAGAGAAGCCTTCAAGTGGCACTCTAATTATGTCACCCATGGTGGCAGCGGTGATGAAGGGGCATTCCCAGAGTGCCTCCACCCCACTGCCCTCAGGGGTACCGCTGTCCTACTCGGGGTCGGCGATACTCAGCAGAGTGGGTGCACAGGCAGCCTGGGCCTCAGAAGGGGTTGGGGTCACGTGGAAGGTCTCAGCTGTCCCTGTGGAGTGACTGGGTGGCCCCTGCGGGCCAGGCCTGCTGTGGAGGTAGAGGCTCATGTGAGGGCAGGGTCAGTAGCCTTGACCCTGGAGGAGCTGGGCCGGGCCGGCCTGCTCAGCGCACTCTGCCTTGCAGGTCTCCCACGAGTTCGCCATCAACTTCAACCCCACCAACCCCTTCTGCTCAGGTGAGTGAACCCACCTGCTCTGCCGCAGCCATCGCACCGTGGGCAGGGGGAGGCAGCAGGGAGCCAGTCTCCGCCCTTTCTTCTATCCCTTCCCCATCACGTTGCTAGAGATGTCAGGCCTGGAAGAACTGGTTTGGAGCCAGGTAGTCACAGGCCTGCTGCTGTCCTTTCCTGCTGGGGGTCTTGGGGAGGTCACTGCACCTCTCTGGGCTTTTGCCCCCTTGGTTCACTTCCCTGGACGGTCAGTGGCAGGGAGCTGTGTAGAGCAGAGGGGACGAGGGGTCTGCTGACCTCTGCTCTCCCTCCTCCTCCCTCCTGCCCTGCTGGGAGGCCCCGCCTGCTCTCAGGCCCCCAGGACTAAGTGGAGCCGCGGGTGAGTCAGCGAGGGCAGAGTCTGCACTCACCACCCCGGCCCGCGAGGTGTTCTGAGCTCCCCAGGGACAGTTCTGGAATCCATGAAAGGAAGAGAGGGACTGGAGAGAAGGAGGCGGCCCTCACCATCATGAGATCTGGCCTAGCATTCAGTTCGGGCAGAGCATCTACCCTCCCTGGGTGTCCCCAAAGCCAGTCCAGCTTTGTACCCAGAAGGGCCACCCATCTAGTCACCAGCTCTGTCTCAGAAACCACGGGCATCCGTTGGCCAGGAGTGTGGCCCTGTGCTCCTGCTGGGGGCTGACTGGCCTGGGGGTGGGTCTCCAGAGGCATTCGTCCAGGTTCACGGTGGCCCACTGCATCCCTGGTCAGAGGCCCTGGGCAAGAGCACAGGGCGATGGGATATCAGCAGCTGTTTCCAGAGCACCTACTGTGTGCAGGGCTATGCAGGCAGCCCTGTCCCTGCTCCCTCGAGCAGCTGCTAAACAGGGTCCAGAATGGACCTCCAGGTGGCTTCACCTTATCTGTCCCACTGAGAGGCCAGGCACAGGCGCGGGCAGCGTGGACAGCTCGCCCAGCCCCACAGCAGGATTCAAACACGGCCTGACACCACCCTTGCTCTGTACCCCTGGCCCTGACCTCAGGAGCGTCTCAGGGGCCCACACTGGCCACACAGGGACATTGTGGGTGAGAACAGAACGGGCCCCGTGAGCAGCGGCTGCAGGCAGGGCGGCGGCTGACCCGACCCTCTCTGAAGCAGGCGTGGATGGCATCGCCCAGGCGTACTCGGCCTGCCTGCCCCACATCCGCTTCTACGGTCCCACCAATTTCTCCCCCATCGTCAACCACGTGGCCAGGTTTGCAGCCCAGGCGACGCAGCAGCAGACGGCCACGGTAAGTAGGCCGCCCCCGGCCTGTGCATGCCAGGCTGGGGCAGCTGGCGGCCAGGTGCCTGGCGACACTGGGCAGACCAGGCTGGGGTTGGCACTTCCTGGCCCTTGGGACTGCCTCCACCCGCCCTTGGCTCTGAATCCCAGAGAGCAGCTTCCCTTGTGCTGAGCAGGAAGCAGAGCTGTGATCCAGGGGCAATGCCTTCCCACTGGAGGGGCTTGTCCTCCCAGGACAGATGGTGACTAGGAGACGGTGGTCCCAAAGGCCCTGAACTGACCCTTGACCACCTCGGTTCAAGTAGAGCCAGGCCTGCTTTCCTCTGAGGGCTGCAGAACCACATGGCCCTTCCTGACAGTGACGAGGCAGAGCCCTGGCGGCCTGACCGGAGGCTGCCAAGGCTGCGGTGTGGCATCTGGAATAGATGGCGAATGGCCATCCTGGGCATCTGCTTATCTGGTCCCCTCCTGGCTCCTCCCCACCCTCCAGGCTCTGGCTCCCTGAGTCCCAAGCCTGGAGACTCCAAGGGGCCATTCTGGCAGGACCTGATGCCAGTCCTGGGGTCACCCAGGGTCACTCTGCCCAGCACAGTGCTTGCCTGGATGGACCCCAGGTTTGGAGGGAAGTCGGGGCCCCAGGGAAGGCCAGCAACAACTGCTAAGGGCCCCCTGGGGAGGAGCACTTGGCCTTTCCTGTCACCAGAGGTCTCGAGGTCCACGCACTTGGTCCTGACCCCAGGCAGCACGATCCTTTTTGTTGTTCCTGGCTTCCTCCTGACTTCCTTCCCCTTGTGGTGACAAACTCTGTCACCCACCCTCACTGTGCCACCTCGAATAGGTCTCTCAGCCTATCTGGGCTGTGAGAGCGGGGCCAGGGCCCCCACCTGCCCCTCCCAGTCAGGCCCAGAAGTGGGCACAGCCATCCCGCCCCTGCCTCAGGTTTTCCCTGCTCACAGGGTGCGCCAAAGGAGGCTTCAGCCTCAGCCTTGGAGGCCCACGGACCTGGCCATCTCCCACCACCTGGCTGTGTGACAGGGTGGCAGCTTAAGCTCTGTGAACTTGAGCGTTCCTTCCTGTACCTTGGGCCCTGCCCTCCAGAGTCATCCTGAGGATTTGGCTAGATGGCATGTCATTGTTGGGCCCAGAGCTTGCCTGGTGGCCAGATCTTCTGAGGACACCTCTCTGGCTAGCTTTCAGCGATGCCACACACAGTTGAGCCCACAGCTACGGGAAGTAATTTGGGGGTTGTCTGGTGCTTTTGTTCAGCCGCTTTTTGGTTTGGCGGAACCATGGTGCGGCGTGGCCCTCCCTGTCCCTAGGCACAGGCCCACACGGGCACACCCACGCCAGGGAAACCGAGTGGGGGCATCTCCAGCAGGTCTGGCGCCCGTTCACTCCTGCTCCTTGCCCAGTGCTTCTGTGCAGCATGGGGTGGCCACGGAGAGCCAGGTCTGCCCGTGAGTGAGGGCCTGGGCTGGGGGAGCAGCGGGGACACGGCGCCACCTGGCCTGTGCTAATGCAAGACGGGATCAGGAAGATGGCGCCCAACCCAGACAGAGGGCTCGGGGAAGTCTTCCCGGAAGCGTGTCATCCAAGCTGAGACTTGGGGAGCGCAGGAGAGCATCAGCCCCCTAGAGGACAGGTTTCCAGGCAGAGGGGGCAGCATGTGCAGAGGCCCGGGCGTGGTATGTGGGTGTGACTGATGGAAGGCGTGTGGGCCAGCGGGCTGAGTGAGGGGGGTGAGGCTGTAAAGGAAGGCCAGCTCCCCCAGGGCCTGGGGGCCACCAGGGAGCCTGGATTTTCTCCCGAGGGCAGTGGGGAGCCACCAGAGAGTTTTAAGCAGGTTTGGGCGGGTGGGAAAGGGGCACGGGGACTCCTAGCCTGACTCGGCCTCCCTCCCTCTGCTTTGGCTCTTAAGACCTGGGCCTTGTTGTTCATGTCCTGGTTGGTGGCCTGGGCATCTAGTGTCCCAGTGGAGGAGGGGCCAGGAAGAGCCTGGGAATTCTCTGACTGCACTTCCATCCCAGGACCCTGGGCTGCCGGTTTCTCGGCTTCTCGGTGTGAGCTGGAGAGCAAGCGCAGGTCTCTGCAGACCCTGCGTGGAACTCCATGGTCAAGTTGGTTTTGTATAATTCAAATCACGTGTAACTGCATGAGGGGAACTGCTGCTTAGAGCCTGGAGCTCAGAAGATCCCCCAGGAGGAAGCACATACTCATCCCGGAAATGGGCTGGGGGTTCGGGTTTAGGGGTTTGGCCTGGTGCTGACTGCTGTCTCTGAGACCTAGACAAGGCCCAGGCCCGTGAGATGGGGAGTGCGTGCAGGGCCCCTGGAGACGCCCTGGGGTGAGGGGAGGGATGAGTGTGCAGAACCCCCCACCCTGGGGCCCATGGCTGGCGGTGGAAGCAGGGCTCCCATCTGCCTGGGACCGAGGGCTTGGCACTCAGGTGGGTCTTGAAGCTGTGTCTGAGGACCGTGCCAGGCAGAGGGAACTAACCTAGGAGGGTATGGAGGTGACTGACCCTGAGGTGGCCCCTTCCCACGCTCCTGCTGGAGTCCCTCCACGGCCACCTCCCACCTTCCCTTAGATATGGTTTGAGGGTGGGCCGTGAGCTCTGGGGTTGTGATGGATCTTTGAGGCTCCAGGACAGCCCTGGCCCTGCCTAGACTGGGTGACAGATCCAGGGCCTGTTGGTACACTTCACCACCAAAGCCAGCCCGGTCTGCCAGCGCCAGGCCCAGACACACACTGTGGAGACTGGCACTGAGGAGTGAGGGTCTCGCCCAGGACCGGGGTTCTGGGCCCTGCTCCCTGCTGCTCTGGCCATTCATGTCCTCCAACCCCAGGATGCGGGTGAGAGGAAAGTTTCAGCTGCCGGCCCTACAGTGACAGGCCACTGGTGCCAGCAAGTGGTGGAGCAGGACACCTGGGGAAGCTCCAGCTTTGGAGCCAGCAGCTCTGGATGGGAACCTGGTGACGGGCCTTAACACATCACCCAGCCCCCCGAGCTGCACTTCTCGGCTCTGAAACAGAACTCACAATGGGAGGATGACAGGGAGGACCTGCCAAGCCGTCACTGTGTTCAGGGCTCCTCACCCATCCCTTGGTCCCCCTGGCCCTGCAGGCCCCAGGCCCTGTGTGCGCCCACCTCCCTGCAGGAAGGCCGCAGGCCCAGGGGACGGCCTCCCTCAGCACAGTCCTGACTGCACTGGGTCGGCAGGTGTCTGAGCAGGACGTAGATCGGAAGCGAGTCCCACTCCATGACAGGCCGAGGAGGCCAAGCCTCTTGGTGCCCTCCCTCCTGCCAACCTGGGTGCCCCAGAAATATTGCCCTGAGTTATTTGTGATGGGATTAAAGTGGACTCAAGGGTCACCTAAAAGAAGGGACCTGGAACGATGGTGAGCTGGGGAGATGGGGTCTAGATGGGTTCACATCGCATCCCCACCAAAGCCAGCGAGGAGGGGCTGGCGCAGCAGCCCTCCACTTCGGGATTCAGGCTGCCATCTCCATGGCAACAGGTATCCCCAGCCAGGGATTGTTCTCTTAAAGACACAGCGCTGGAGCTGGACTACAGCTGCCTGGAGAGGGGGTGGGAATGGCAACCCATCGCTCACCCCGCTCCTTCCCTCCTCTTTCTGTACTTGGGGGACAGAAAGAGGAACAAAGCATCCTAGAGGGCTGGGCTGGATGAGAAGGTGGCCCAGTGCTGACCTGGGGTGGCTCTGCCATCCTTAGCTCCATGACCTTGACTAGTATGGGCCCCAGTTTTCTCTGGCAATCAAAAGAGTCAGACTAGAAGGTGGAGTCCCCAATGAAGAATGTTAGGACCAGAAGAGCTACCTGCTTGTTTTATGGGTAGGGAAAACAGTTCCCTTGAGAGGGGCAGAGGGTGCTGAGGCCAGAGCTGGGTTGCTGTGGCCAGTGTGGCAACAGGGCCCACCTGTGGGATCACCCCGCGCCTTCCTGAACTTCACCCTCCCCACCGTCCAGCCAGTGTTCTGCCTTGGATCACCCACATTAATTATTCAGTGTTTTTCTTTTCTGAGATAAATGGTAAGAAACATATCTCACTGCATGTGAAAGATCAGCATCATGGGCCACAAATTGAGGAGAACAGTAAAAATGAATCGAGCTGTACCGTGGAACGGGGAGTGGGACGGGGACAGCGCCCCTGAGAGCTGAGCCCCTGCCTCTCTGTTGAGCTGTCAGAGGGTGCTGTAGGCGCCAGCACCGAACGGGGTGCCTCCTGGGCACAGTTCACAACCTGGAAAGGCCACTGCCCGTTCTGATTTCAACACCGAGTCTGGATGTGACCCAAAGCCACTTAGTTGTTCACCAGCAGAATCCCACACTCCCGGAGTGCTGCCCAGATGCCCTCGCCCAGCCCTGCAGAGCCTCTGGGACCTTGCTGAGTAGGGAAGGAAGGGGGTGCAGGTGCGGCTGCCCCCGAGGAGCACAGGAGGGGAGGCCCCAAAGTCTGCCAGTCCAAATAAGCCTCCCTGCACCAGCCGCACCCGTCAGGAAAGACCCTGAGGGAGCGCCACCGTGTGCCAGGCGTGATCTCTCCTCAAGGGCAACTCCGACCTTCAGATGAGCAAACTTGAGGCCCAGCATAAAGCCGGGTGCCCTCAGTCCCACCGTTTAGCAGAGCAGCCTTGACTCCGGCTCTCAGAGACCAGAACAGGGGAGCCCGAGACAGCATGGGGGTCAGAGGAGCCCATCAGGCCGGGAGGTGGGGAGGTGCTGGGGACGTCCTTGGCTGCCCCTCTGCAGGAAGCCCAGGCGTAGCAAGGTTTGGGGAGCTGGGGGAAGGGCGAGGGCTTTGCTGAGCCCGCCGACCCCTCCCTGCAGCAGTACTTCATCCTCCTCATCATCACGGATGGTGTCATCAGCGACATGGAGGAGACCCGGCACGCCGTGGTGCAGGCGTCCAAGCTGCCCATGTCCATCATCATCGTGGGCGTGGGCAACGCTGACTTTGCCGCCATGGAGTTCCTGGACGGGGACAGCCGCAGGCTGCGCTCCCACACGGGCGAGGAGGCAGCCCGGGACATCGTGCAGTTCGTGCCCTTTCGGGAGTTCCGCCACGTGAGTGGGGGCCCAGGTTTGGAGGGGGGCCCCAGGGCCCTGGTGACCACTGTGCACTGTCAAGGGTGAAAGTCTACACGCTTCCCCACTCAGCTCCCTGGACTTCCTCAGGGCCACGCTGCCAGGCCTCGCCCCAGGCCGTGCTTACAGACAAGGCTGTGACAAGGCCAGCACTGTCCCACCAGTTGGTGGAACACAGAGTGGCACCTGGTCCCGACTGAGCTCCAGGAAGGGTGTCCCAAAGGACCTGCCCTCCATCTGAGCACTAGATGAGAACGGGAGTTATTCTCGTGGGGCCAGAGGATGAGAGGGGCTTCCTGCTGACCGTACCTCAGCCAGCCCCATGGAGAGATGGAAGAGGCCCTTCCATCCTAAGGGGGGCTGGAGCCTGCCTTGTTTCTGGAGGTGGCTCTGGTCCTATCTGCAGTGAGTGAACCCAGGTCAACCCACAAGGAGGCTGGAGTCAGTAGCAGGGCCCCTGGAGAGCCCCAGAGGAAGAGTCTCTCAATGCCACCCTGCATGGCCTGCCTGGGCCCAGCCCTCACTTGACCAGAGGCTCACTCTGTGGTCCTGGGAAGCCCTCACCTTCCTGAGCCTCGTTGCCTCCACTGAGAGCGTCTCTGGGTGCTGTGGCTCAGATCCTGGCAGCCAGCCTCAGCACGAAGTGACCCGTGGTCCTTACTTCTTGGCCCCATGTCCTCTGGACTTGCCTGGGATGGTGTCCCTTCCTCTGGGGCATTAGTTTCCTGAGGATGAATGCTGGACATCTGTCACCAGCTCCTGTGCAGGACAGTGCCTGAGCACCTTCCTGTGCCTGGCCTGTGGCTGGCCTTCAGCAGTGAACCAGCCAGGGAGGTGCTCAGGACGAGCTGGCCAGATGGGGAGGCTGTGCACCCCGCTCTCCCCCTGCAGACATCCACAGGCATGTCTGTCCTGAAATGTTACTCCAGGCACCTCCAGTGCTCACGGGAAGAGTCAGACTTTTCTTTTTTTTGGTACCAGAGTTTGAACTCGGGCACTCAACCACTGAGCCACATCCCCAGCCCTATTTTGCATTGTATTTAGAGACAGGGTATCACCGAGTTGCTGAGTGTCTTGCTATTGCTAAGGCTGGCTTTGAATTTGCAATCCTCCTGTCTTAGCCTCCCAAGCCTCACATCTCTAATCCCAGCAGCTCTGGAGACTGAGACAGGAGGATCGTGAATTCAAAGCCAGCCTCAGTAACAGTGAGGCTCTGAGCAACTCAGTGAGACCCTGTCTCTAAATCAAATACAGAATAGAGCTGAGGATGTGGCTCAGTGGTCTAGTGACCCCGAGTTCAATCCCCAGTATAAAAAAAAAAAAATGTTATACTTGACATCAAGGCAGGCACAGCTAATGGTGACATCAAGTGGGCTGGTATGAGGGACACTGGCCTCAGACCACCCTGGCTCTCAGCCCTGTCAGTCCTCCATGGACACCTGTGGTCACAGCTCCTGGGCATGGCGCCCCTCCGGAATTGCTCATTAATCCTATTCTCTCCTCCCTGCCCCGCCCTCCACCCTGCAGGCAGCAAAAGAGACTTTGGCCAAAGCTGTGCTGGCAGAGCTGCCCCAGCAAGTTGTGCAGTATTTCAAGCATAAAAACCTGCCCCCCACCAACTCGGAGCCCGCCTGAGCCCAGGCCCAGCAGCAGCATGCCCATGCCGGCCGCCCGCCCCTCCCCAGGAACGTGCACGCTCACCCTGCTTCCTTGTGGGTGGTCTTTTTTTACGGATCCACATTTTTATTTTTTACAACCGGACCTCCGCCCCCAGCTTCCCGGGCCCAGCTGGGCTTCCTCGTGGGAGTCGACAGATGATGCTTCCAGGCCAAACAGGCTTCCTCTCCCCTCCCCCAGCCACCCTTAAGTATTGAATGTACTTTGTATAATTTTAGTGGAATTATTATTGTTATTAAAGAGAATAAAATTTTTACAATCATAACTGGGCTTTTTCCAAGTAACTAGCTGCAGAAAGGAATGTGTCCCTGGTGCGCACTTTGTGTCGTGGCCTGCTGTTTTTACACTGTGACTGTGTTCTGTTTGTTACGCTCAGGGTAATAAAGGAGTTTTAGATGTCCCTGTGTCAATCAGCTCCTTCCTCTGCGGGGACCCAATGGGCTCCCTCAACTGGAAAATGAAATGTGATAGGAAAGTCCCTTTCCCCAGCCAGCAAGGCTGCGGAGTCAGCGTGATGGCCTCTGGGGGACGTGCACCCCATCAACAGTGGTAGCTCCTGAGAAACTGGTCGAGTGGCACTGCGTGGCTGGGAGACCCTGCTGGAGCCCAGCCAGCCCCTCACCAGCCCTACCCCCACTTCCTTGGGGCCCACACACTGTCCAGTGCTCCTGCTGTCTCCCGGGCCTGGTGGTCTACAGTTTGAGAGCCTCTTTGGTCTCCCCCCCCCCCAGCAGAGCTGTTCCTGCTGTTTTTACTGTGTCCCTGTCTCTGGGCGCAGGCCTGGCCTCTGGAACCCAGCCCTCCTCCCTTCCACCTCCCCTAGAGCTCCTGGCGGCCCCTTTGACCCAGGCTCACGTGTCTCTTAAGCACTATGTCCCCAGCTCCCTGTAAACTGCTGTTCTGGAACTTTTTCCTTTGGTACTGGGGACTGAACTCAGGGGCACTTTCCCACTACAGCCCCAGTTCCTTTTATTTTGAGACGGTCTAAGTTCCGGAGGCTGGCCGTGAACTATGAATCCTCCTGCCTCAGCCTCCCAAGTCACTGGCATTAGCTATGCGCACTTTGCCTGGCTGTCAGAATGCTTCCAACAGCCCCTACGAGCATTTCAGAGATGCAAAGGCCTGCAGAGGAGTACATCAGGTCTCCCGGAGGCAGAGCCAAATGCACGTCCAAGTCTGGCTGACTCTATGCCCAGGCTGTTCCCCTGCATCCAGTGCTGCCCCTTGGCTCTGCCAGCTATGCTCAAGCTGCTAATGAACTTGTCACTGTGCTCCTCTGAAACGGGGACTTCTGCTATCCTCACCTGTTCTCCCAGAACTGGGCAGCGCCAGGCAGGATACACCTGCAGATGCCCGGCAAGTTTAAGAGCCAGCTTATCTAGTGGATGGGAGAGACACCTTCACCCCAACCTTCCAATGGTCCTGCGGATTCTGTAGCCACCAGGAATTTGCTGAAGCATTCTTTATGAACATCTTTGTTTCTCGAGATGACTGTAGGGACACCTGGAGGCCCGATTTATGGACGGTGCTTCAGGAAGGCCCAGCATGTTGGTTCCCAGGCCAGCAGTGGGTGGAATCCCAGAACCAGCACATCTGGCTCATTTTAGTTCATTGGTGTGGCCAGCTGCAAGACGGGGTATTAACTGAGACCATCACATGACTGCTCACTCCCCTTCTGGCTTAGTAGCAGTGAGGCTAGTGGACATCATATCCAGGTAGGTCCGTACTGCCCCAGCCTGAGAATCAAGGTCCCATGACCAGAGGCTTCTCTGGGAGAGCGACCTGATCCTAGGCCTACATTCCCTGGTTAGCCCTCAATGGACGTATAGGTATATTGGGGTGGCCACTTGTCACAGGGACCTCTGCACTCCTCACTTGGGCCTCCCCAGGCAGGTCTGCGGGGCAATGGTAAGGCAGAGGCCCTGCCTGGCACCAGTCCATCCCCAGTGCGCGTGCTCTCACAGACCAGGGTGCTCTCACAGACCAGGGTGCGGTGTCTGCTTCCAGGCCTCGTGTGGGGGCAGGCTCAGACCTCTCTGCCGTCTGCTCCATTCTTAGCCTGGGATTGCACTGGTAAGTCAAGCAGCTCCATACTCCTGATGGCTTCAGCTCAGAGAGGAAAGGTAAGCCTAAACCCTAGACAAGGGTGAATTTTTCTTTTTAAATCCTTGCCAGCCATGGTGGTACACACCTGTAATCCCAGCAATTTGGAAGGCTGAGGTAGGAGGATCACAAGTTTGAGGCCAGCCTCAGCAACTTAGCAAGACCCCTTTAAAAAAATATATACATATATATACATTAGTTGTCAACGACTTTATTTTATTTATATGTGGTACCGAGAATCTAACCCAGTCCCTCACACACGCTAGGCAAGCACTCTACCACTGAGCCACAACCCCAGCCCAACACCCTGTCTTAAAGTAAAAAACAGAAAGACTGGGGATGTAGCTTAGCAGTAAAGTGCCCCTGATTCAGTCCCCAGTGGGGGAAAACAATCCAGGCCTTGGTGCTACTGCTCACTCTTCCACACAGACGCCAGGCTGTTCCAGGTGAACATGGAAACTCAACCTGAAAGACTCAACCCCTGAAACGCCACTGAAACCACCGAAAGCCAGACTCCCAGGCTCAAAGGAACGTTCTGGCTCTGTCACTGAGCGGTGCTAGTCAGCAAGCCATACAGCCAACCATGGTTTTAGGTTCCTCTAAAAATGCAGAGGACTGCTTCAGAAGACATTTTTCAGGATGAAACACACTAATGTCCACTAAAATAATGCGTAAATGCCTCAAAATGCCTGGTGCATACTCAGGAGGCCCCGAGTATGCACCAAGCAAACGCAACCTGCAGAGGTTAATGATGGACGTGACTAATACTCACAGGGACCAGCCTGCATAAAGCTCAGGTGGAGGGCTGTCCCTGCTGGGACCACTTGCTGCCAGTTTTGGTTGTAAGACTCCCTGTCCCCTCAAACTGTTGCTTTGGCAGGTAAGGGAGTAAGATGCCAGCCCTCGCCAGTGTCATTAAGGCATAAATGTGAGACTGCTTCTGTGTTCAGCCTGTGACTACAAAAGTGTTGCCAAGATTCCAGCCTTCCACCGAGCAGAACTTGCATTCCATCCTGGCATGCGTAACAGGGCTGGGCGAGCCAGGGAATCAAGAAAACACTCAAGTCCAAGTGGCTGTGCACTGCCACTGAGCTCTCCTTGTTTTGCTGGAGGGGCCTGAGATGACAGCTGAGCCACATACCCACGACTAGGACACTCGAGCCAAGGAACCGGGTGTGCCTGAGCGATTAACATTTAGCCAAGAGGGAAGTATACAGCTGAAGCTGGCCGTGGAGCTCCGACAACCAAATCCGACCCTTCATCATGTCACTTTCTAGCTGCAAGTGAGGAGCAAAACGCAAGCACTCCGATTGCCCCGCCCAGAGGCAGGGAGGCCCAGGGTAAAAGTACTAATGAGGGTGCCCACCTTTCACTGAGTACTGTGAGCCACAAGTCACGCCAAGCACCTAATGTGAAGTCTCTTGGGTGGGAAAGGAAGAACTCAGAAGTCGGGGAGTGAAGTGACACAGTGGATGGGACTGGCCTAAGTCACCCCGTGCCTGATGCCCAGCCTTGAATGCGACTTATAAAAACTGAAGCCCTGCCCTACTCTGGATTGGGGCAGCTAGTTTTGTCTCTGTTGGATCTTGGAACCCAAATTTGGGTGTTTTGAATTCATGCTCCTTTCCTCCCAAGGTTGGCAGAAAGTGACTGGAAAGGCATGGGTGAGAGAGCTGGATGATCCTCCCCAGATGCAGCCGACAGCAGCACTGCGGCTAGTCTTCTCCCTGTGTGGTGTGAGAGTTCTCAGGTGCCTGCCACTCAGGACATCAAGCAGGCTTAAGGAAACCCGGCCAGGGTGGGAGATGGAGCTCAGTTGGTACAGCATTTGCCTAGTATTTGCAAGGCCCTGGGTTTGATCCCCAGCACCACAAAATTAAAAAAGAATCCCACCCTGAGCTTTGTTCTGACCTCTTGTTACTTAGCTATAAAATCCCAACTATGAAGGCAGGAGTACAGCTGGTGGGGTTTCAGGAGTCCCTCTCAGATATCAAAGCACCTTCTAAATGGCATAGTATCTGTCTACACCCCACGCACAGCCTCCTGCACTCCAAACCATCCCCACGTGACTCACAGTACCTAATACGATGTAAGTGCCTATGTTAAAGTCATTCTCTACTGTTTAGGGAATAATAAGTCTGTACATGTTTAGTACAGACACATTCTTTCTCTGAATTATTTTTGAGCTGTGGTTGAATTCAGAGGCAGACCCTCCAATACCCACAGCTGACAGTGCTCTAGTCAAGGTCTGGGCGGTGCATCCTTCCATCCCTGCTCATTCTATTTCTTTGGGATGCAACCTCAAGCTCTACCCTGTATGCTTCTCAAGGCTGCTTCCCACTGGTCAGCCCAGATCCTGCTTTGCTAGTGGCAGTTTCTACAGAAGGTAAGTTTCAGTTTTGGGGTGTACAATGGACTATAATGAAATGGCACAATCCAGATGCAACAGACCGGGAGCTGGAAGCACAAGATGCAGACAGGAGAGCTCGTTCTGACAGGTTTACTGGCTCTTAAGTACAATTCAATCCCGTGACCCTTTGTTGACTTCTTCCAACATCAACAGAGGCCAAGAGGTATAGTAATGGCCTCTGAAGTCAAACCACATAGTGACTGTGATTCCCCGGCCTGCCTCCTGAAACCATGTGAGGGTGCATCAGGTACATGCTGTGATAACAGCAGCACAGTCGCAGGAACAATGAAGCCAAGGCAGAGGTGCCTACACAGTTTTATCTAAGTGTCTTGTTTGTTAGGATGGAGCTGACGCACCGTTCTCACAGTCAGGAACAATTAGCACCGAGAGGTCCTGAAAAGGAGGCAGAATTTATAAGGCGTCAGTTACGGGCAGAGGGAAGCCGCCATCTGCTGATGGGCACCAGAGCACTGCGGCGCTGGAAGGGGAAAAGTGGGTTGGACGAGATCCAGGGGCCTCTTGCCCACGTTAAAACCGAGTAGCTCCTCTGCCTGCTGGCACCCGTGTGCCAACACGTTCTGTGTCTCACAGTCTCACACCCAGGGAAGCAGCAACAACCAAGGCAGGAGCCCAAGGGAAAGAAGACCGTGCAGGCGGAGGAGCACACGGTCCTTCAGGCTTCCCGCCCTCTCTCCCCTTCCCTCCACCCCACAGCCGAGCCCCTCTCCCGCCAGGAGAGAAAGAGGGGGCACAGTCTCTCTGGTTCTTGGCTGCTTAAAGAGCAGTCAGGCAAAGAATAAAGGAAAAGTACTAACCCAGCACCTTGAGGCTAGAAACAGCTTCAACAGTTAAAAGCCACAACTACAATAAATGCATCAAACAGAGAA